ATAAGATCTTTTTTAAAATATAGTCTTTCAAACTGTGTGCTTTACTTAGTGTATTAATGTTTAAATTTGCCATTTTATTTTTTGTTTTCTGTTTATTCCCTCTGTTTTTGGTTTCTACAATTTATTTATTTTTTTCTCCTTTCTGAGTTCTGTGAATATTTTTAATAATTCTATTTTGCTTCATCTATATTGTTTTTGACTGCATCTCTTTGCATAACCACTTGTTTAGCCAAAGCTCTAGCTGTTACATTAAGTGAGCCTAACTTTTCCCATTTATATTGTCATCATTTTACCACTTCAAGGGATGTGTAGAAACCTTACCTCCCTTTACATCTCTTTACCTTCCACCATCAACGAAGAGTTCATTTCATTTTCTCTGCATATATTTCAAACCAAATCAAACAGCATCACAATTTTTGCTTCAAGCATTATACTTTAGAAAACTCAAAAGAAGAAAAAATCTATTCTCTTTATCCATACTTGTTTACTGTGTACTTCTTTTTTTGATGTTCCAAGATTTTATATATATATTTTTTCCTGATAAACTCCTGAATAGAAATTGCTTTGTGGCACCTCTAGGGGACAGCCGGGGGATCTCACAGGAGGCTTCTGCCTGCCCCACACCCAGTAGCGAAATGAAGTTATCCCAAAAAAGGCATGGCGTCTGCTCGGAGATCCACACGTGAGGGGCTCTTATAAATGAAAACAAGGGGTAACTCAACAGGACACTGCACAGACATAGGCTTCCTCGTGATTGTCCCCTGGTGACAGATGACAATGTGAACAGAGGCCCTAATTTCAACAACTCCACTTCTTTATGGGGCTAAGTCACAACCTCAAAGAGAGGGGCAGGGGGCTAAACAAAGTTAAATTAAATCTCTTCCAGATTAGCCAAAGAGAGACTCATAAAATTGAAGTATAGAAAAATAAATGGACTAATATTTTATTTCTTGCACAGGGTGAGTTTTATACTATCTTCATGCTTTTTTGTACTCTCCTGCTTCTCTTCCCAATATTCTATATCTGTCAAGGTCACTACCATTATTACAGATTCTCCAGACAGAATCTCAGTCATTTCTGACTTTTTTTCTCCTCTCCTCTCCATTGTATTCAGACCCCACAGCTGGTTATTTCTTTCTACAAACTACTGCTCTGCTCCTGACTTTACTAACACCACTGTTCTTTGAACATCCTGCTTAGAGCAACAGTTTCTTAGGAGTTCTCTTTGCTTCTCTTCCCAGATTCCTTACATGTTGTTCACTTGTTCAGTGATCAGTAATCATGACTATTGTTACAGTTTAGTACTGATCTCAATTAGACACCAATACCTTCTTTTTTAAAAAAGATTTTATTTATTTATCTTTAGAGGGGAATGGAAGGAAAGAGGGAGAGAAATATCAATGTATGGTTGCCTCTCATGCATCCCTTGCTGTGAACAGACCCACAACCCAGGCATGTGTCCCAACTGGGAATCAAACCACCGTCTTCTGGTTCGCAGGCCCATACTCAATCCACTGAGCTACACCAGCCAGGACTAGACACTGATACTTTCTAATTTCTATATGCAACAGGTTCTTGATGGCCCTGTCTAAACAAAGTGACAGTTTTATTCCCTAAAAACTTTCTCTGAGCCTGATTTCTTCAGAAGGCCATCTGGAATCTTCTATGACTCCAATTTTTCCTGCTCGGTGTTCTTCTCTGTCCACCCCAGTGTTGGTGTTGCCTAAGGTTGAGCCCCTCCCCCACAGCTGCCATTTGTACGTGAACAACTCCCGAACTTCTGCCTGTCCTGAACTCTGGAGTGGCATTTCTGAACTCTGAAGTGCTATAATGTACCATTTCCAACTGGATGTCTTTTAAGTACTTATCTCCAACTTAGCAGGTGTTGCAGCCTTCTCTACCTCCACCCTCCTGCCACTCCCATCACTGGGAAACATTACTAAAATGTAATTTCCAAGCGCAGACATTAATGATGGTGGGACTGATTTGAAAAGAAAATAAGCAAATGTGAAAAGTTCCATCTCTGTGCTATTGAGCTGTCCCAGGCAGGCAGAACTTTTTCAAGAACAGGATAGATGCTGATTATTATGACCAGTATCTCTAGGGGTAGGCAATTCTTTTAGCTCTTCTACCTTACTGGACATGCTATTCAAGAAAATCACCTCTCTTTGTTCTTATTGTAAGCTCTAAAGTCAACTTTCTCATCCTTAATTAGATTGAACAAAAAGGCAAATGTCTGTTATTGAGATTGGGATGTAGCTATTATGTGCTCATGAAGTGGCATTCTAGCAGGTAAATGATTCTCTTGTCAGTTCATTTGGTGTGAGTCAGTGCCCCAGAGTTGGTGAACTCTAGGTGAACTGTTGAGAGATCAAGTTTCTGGATCTGCAGAATTGAAGACCAGCCTCTGGACTGTGGTGATTGAAAATAGACCATGAACCTGAGAGGTGAGGCCCAGCTGAAGAGGTCAGCAGACTCTTCCTCTGGATATATTTTTAGCTGTACACTTTGCCTTACATATCTTTGCCCCACAGAGTACATATCACAGTGCAAAGCATCAGAGCTGAAGACCTGTTTATTATCTGACCTCAGACATTCAATGGAGTGTCCAAAAGGACAATGTTAAATGCCTTCAATCCCACAATGAGAATTTCTAGGGAACTCTTAATCACACAATGTGAGTTTCCAGGAGACCCACAAAGCTTCCATGGCATGAAAGGCAATAGAAATATTAATATCAATAGAAACAGAAACAATAACAACAAAGAAGTGCATGGATTGGTAAAATCCTTAGCAACCTCAAGAATGGTATATAGCTCCCATTTCTTGTGTATTACGTAGTAGGTGCTCTGCATGTTTCATTCCATCGATTCTTCCATCATCCTATGAGCTGCACGTTACCATGCCCATTTTATAGTTTAGGAACCCACAGCCAAGAAGATTTAAGTAACTTGCCCAGGGTACACAAGTTGTAAGTGACAGAGGTGGGTTCAAAACTGAGGCTCCAAAATCAATGCTCTTAAACATAATGAACACTTGCTGTTTTGCTGTTAATTGCTTAAACCAGATGAAATAGTATGAAGAGTTAAGTTACCAAAATCTGCATCAATCTGAATGCCAGTTATACCATCTTTAACTACAAATAGCCATTCTTAGATGTAGGCTTAATATTGCTTTAATAATTTCTTTGGGAAAGGTATAGTGTAGTTTTTTGAACTTTTTTGACCAGGTCCTTTGTAAGAAATCAAAAGTCCACTGAAACCCAAGATAAAAGTACTTAAATATGTTGTGGGGTGTGTGTGTGTGTGTGTGTGTGTGTGTGTCTGAGATTAAAGTCACAAAGCTTACTCACTGAGGTAGGAACTCTGATCTCTCCTATTCTATTTGTTCTGTTAGGGTGCTGATCATAACCCACTATCCTAATCTCCTGACACACTAATGGGTCAAAACCCACTGTTTGAAGAGCCCTGGGATGTGCAAGGAATGTCTTCATAGGAGTGAAAACCACTAGTCTTTTGCTCACTCCACCTATAAATGTGAAAACTAGGCTCTCGCCAGCACACTGAGGTGGGGGGATCGGATCACTGCCAAGGCTTTTTTTTCTGTTTAAATCTACCATCAAGGATTTTCTACCTCCACGCAGGTGGTTTCTTGTCAGGGAATGAGGAAGGGCAGCACATCTCCCCCCTCTGTGCAGTACTGACTGCCTCCACACCCGTGTCCATTTCCAAAGGGCTGCAGCCTTGTCAGCCGCTCGGCCCGATGCCTTGTGTCCATCCACAACTGTGGTTCAGACCCTGCTGGCTGGGAATGCTGGCTGGGAATGCCAGTGCCCAGGACCTACCCGAAAGCACTGTCTAATCTTGGGAGCTTAAAGCAAGCCAGCAAGCAGCCTAGTAACATTCACATGGATTTCCAGTCACCTCTGTTCTGTCTTTAATGCCCCATCCAGTCACACTGCTGCACCATAACAGATCTACTTTGAGTTGGGACAAGCTTTTTGCATCGGGAAATGGAAACTCTGATCAAATTTGGGGGCAAAATTCTAAACTTCCTAAAAAGAGAGTATAAACTTATTTACTAGTCCATTCATGTAAAAGAGAATCGAAAGGCAGTATACTTACTTGTGGAGGGAGAAGGGTCTCTGAGCTCCAATCCCAAAATGGTTTCTGAAAACGAAAAGGAGCTCAAAGCTTTATGGTAAATTCTCTTAAGTCAGAAAGATAACTATCTGTATAATTAATTTCTTTGTGTGTATTTAATGAATGCACGCACACACACATGCATACACACCCACAAAACTCTACCAAAGCTGATGTTAATAAATGAGGACTTCCAGGTGGTGAAGTCTGGGTAGTACAGCTACTTATGGAGTTAAAACTGAGTAAGAAGTATTTTGAAGACTGCAAGAGATTTGCACCTGTCTATTTGCAGGATTCTACAACTGGGCACCTGACAGCAGACAATCAGAACATCCTGCAGGGCCACTGGGCACTTACCTTCTGACACCGAAGGAGAAAGCAGTAGCACTTTAAGCGCGGTCTCATTCCATTATGTGTTTTCACTGCACAGCACCTGATATGTACTTTTTAATAAACTTGAAAGAAAGAGGTAAGGTAGACTAATAAACAGAATCTGCAAAAGATTCTTATTAGTAAGATTACCTGCATTGATTATAAATTAGAGAGAAGATTACAGCTAACATTTTAAACACAGAACACTAGTAAGAGAAACATGTATTAAGGTTGCATTTAGTATGTTCCTCAAAGAATTAGGTCACATTCCTGTTAATAATATCAAATAATGACAATTGTATCAATTATCATGGACCAGGATTTGCTCTTTAACACTTCACTATTTCACAGTGCAGCCTACACCTTAAGAAATGCCTGCATTAATTCTACACACCCAGCAGAATTTGCCAGGTGTTACATGGTACACGTCAAAGTCTGGGGAAACTAGTGAGTATTAATAGCATAATAACATGGAAGTCATCAGACCACATTTCATAGTTTTATTGAGACTTTTTAGTTGTAGTTGTCTATTGTGGGTACAGTTCTAGTGACCACGATTATATCTAGGCTCTGCTGTTATTATCAATAGCAGATGCAAAGTCGGCTGCCATGCCTTGCACACACGCACACCATATGGTACACTCCTGCATGCAAATGTATAGGAAATGTACATTCCTTTTGAATAAAACAATTGTGCACAATTAGTTGGGAATCCATTAAGCTACCATTGATTTAGATAAACCTGAGAAAGCACAAAATGTCAAGTAATACTGTTTCCATACCGCTCATTTAATGGCACTAATGATCACAAAGAAACCTAGTCAATTATCTATATTAAATCACAGATAATATAAAAATAAACATTTTTGCAAAAGCACTGAAACATACTAGACTTCAAATTCACAAATTTTGATATGTCACATATATTCCCCTTCATATTAATTTGTCATTATGTATACAATACAATGTACAACAGAATAAAAAATGTAACAGAATTCAGCAGCCAAATATATAATAATACGGTCATCACTATGAAACTTGGAATTAAAGTCATCAACTGAACAAACAGTTTAAAATCAATAGCAGTGTTAAACTTGCTGGTAGTGTGTTACTTAGAGGCTCCATCTCAAAGCAATTAAGATCATACTATTTCCCCTTATAATGAAATATGGCACAAAAATGTAAGAACTGAGCACGGTCACTGATTATGCCCGGTGCCTCTTTCCCTCCTGTCTCCCTCAAGTTTTTCTTTAAATTCTAACGTGACATTGATAATGCCCATCTCACCAGACAATCTAACACATAAGAGCTCTATTCTGAATTTAGGACAAGTATATTGCATTTGGAAATAAAAGCTCTGATCATTTTTGAGGGCACAATTCTAAATGTTCTTAAAAGGCAATATAAACTTTTCTATAACATTATACAAAATGTAGACAATACAGACAGATGTGTTGTACTTGCTATTCATCTTATGATAGTTTGACAACAAATTCTGTCTGTATAGAAAAAATTTTAAATAAAAAGAAAAACGTGCAAAAGCATTTCTACAGAAAATTAACCACTTGCATCACAGAGTTTCATATTTTAGGTCAAAAAATCAGAAGACAAACATTTCAAGACACTAGTATTTGAAAAGCGTCATACTTTACAATAATTCATCTTATCTATGCATCATATATTATGTAAAATATACCACTGGGACATTCATATTATACACTGTAATAAATAGAATTTACATCAGTATGTTGGACCTTTCCAGAAAGTCTTTCAATCTGTGCAACTGAAGAATAATGAGCTTCATTAATAAATACTATTATGACAGCCACAGCTGATCAGCAAAATCAAAGCTTCAATAAATCTCTAACTAGTTACACGTCTCTATTGCAGCCAATCAGATTCCAGCTGCTCTAAGCACTGACCTCTTTTGTATCCAAAGGCAGGTTAAGGTACCCCTGAAGGGGACTGAGAGAATTTACAAGTCGTAGGTCCACATCACAATGGGTGGATTTCATAAGAATCTTTAGCCAAGGACTGGAATTGAAGAGTCCTACAAAGTACAGCAGCAGATTTTATGCAACGCTGGCCGCTTGTAGTTCTAATGTTTCCACATCCCCCAAGGCCCCAACAGCTAGATGTTATCCAACCTTTTTAACACAAAGAATGGTCTTGAAAGGGTCACAGTTCCAAAGCTGGCCCAGTGGCAATGTCATGGTTTTAACTCTGAATTCTACTCATGCTGTGTCTCTTCTTGGTTTGTCCTTTTCACTATTGCAATGCAAACATGTTGATGTTCAAAGTGTCAAAGATGTACTTGGTGTGTCATAGAACACCTTGGACTTGGCATTAAAATAATTTTGTATTGTGAAATTTAGTTAACTGATAAATCCTATGATTTCAGCAGTTCTTTCATCAAATGCCAACAGACTTCTTCTATTTTCATTAAAATAGTTAAAATAGTTAATAATACCATCACATGTCAAGAGTCAGATTTTAAGATCACTGCTTCATCCTGACCCTCTTTATGTTTTCACCATGAACACAGACACTTCCCAGAGAGCTTTTTTGCCTGCAAGGAGTTAGTGAGATCATTCTTGTTTCTATCTGACATGCATTCACATGTCACTATTGTCTACTGCGTGATGTATAAACTTAAAGAAGAAACACTCTGAAAAAAAAACATGCCAAGAAGTAAAAGGACATTTCTAGTCACTGTCCACCTCCTCAATGGATCCGCACTCTATAAGAAGTTCTCTGGTAGCTGAAACAATTGTCCTTAACACAGACTGTAAAATCATGCTGGACGTTCTGAGACCTAAAAGGAAGAAAACTGAAGTAAATGATGAGGAAACACTACAGAAATGTGTTCCATTAGCCTTTGAGTTTAAGGATCTCTTTGAAATTGCCCTTTTGTTCAATTTAGTGACACTAAACTTGTCTCAGTGAACATGCTGCCTGACAGGGACAATATGGTAATGACATGTTTTAAATTTCTCCTTTGAGGATTCCACCACAGCCATTCCTGTAGGACCCTAACCAGTTGAGCACCTAGCTAAACCTTCTCTTTCCTCAAAATGCATAGGTGTGAGACATTTAAGATGTTTCTTCTACAGTAATTCTGTGCATTAATACTGAACATGTAGAAAAAGAACCACCTTTTAGAAAGCTAAGCACAGTTTTTCTTCATTGGTCTTAGTGGTCTGGGACTAGATACACTTAAGTAATTCTAAGAAGACACTGAAGGTCTCATAAGCCCACCATCTATCCAGGTATTGCACAAACTGAAATCACTCCTTGACTTACCTGTCACTGTGTCCCACAGGTGCCTGCCTTAAGGCACAACCCCCAATTATTTTATTTATAAAGTGCTTTCAAACAAGTTATTCCACCCTGAGTAGAAGACTCTCGTGTTGGCTTTATTGAGCTTTTCACAATTACACATCCTTTTGACACCGGATTTATTTGTTTGGAGTTGTAAGTTGTGTTACCTTAAACTCATTGTTCTACATTACATAGAATTTAAAGCTTTAAGGGCTAGAAATGCAGCAATTCAATACTCATTAAAATGTTATTAAAATATTTTACATATTTCTCATTATTGCTTGGCAGAGAAAAAATATATAAGAAACACGGCCCAGTGGTCCTCATACAAACTGTTAACAGTGTGATTGAGTAGTCAGTCTGTACGACTCACTCTTCACTGTTGGGGTATCTTAGTTACTTAAAATTTCATTATCCTTATACCCCTTTCTCAAATATTTCAATTATTCCCTTTATATATGAGGATATAAGATCTAATAAAGGATTGTAGCTTCTATACCAACACAACCTTCACACATTCCACCTTCTTATCATTATATTTAATGTTTTCCTTCGTTTCTAAGAAGCAAAAAGCACCTTTACAGCATGACTTTAACTTAAAGTCCTTAATCTAAAAATGTCTTCACCCCACTCCCTGTTGCCTCGTATGTTCTAGACTATACTGGAATATGCCTTGTGACTGTAACCACTCTCCCTCTGATAACACCATCCTCCTGCCCAGCAGCCCTCAACTTGCTGACAGTTATTCAGCTTTGGTCTGTACTTTATCTGTGATTTTTCAGAACCGTTTTTTACAGATGTGAGTGAGCATCTGCACTGGAACACAAACAAACACCAGCAGCAGTAATGCAAGCAAATGCTCTTTGTCACAGGAAGTCTAACAGAGTTCATGTCGTTTACAAGGAAAGGACAAGCACTTTGATGACTTTGAATGCATTTTACCTATGGATAATACATGCAAGCCTGCATCATCAAACACTTGGCATCCAACACAGAGTGAGCAATTTTCCAGAAGTAACTGGAAAATCACTTTTTAGGCTTTTACATTCATTGGTTTTCCTTTTCTATTCAAGTTTCCAAGAAACTAAGTCAGTTATCACCCATACCGATCAGACCTAAAATGACCCCCGGCTAAGATCTCTGTTTATCTGATACTCAGTGAATCAAACTTTTTTCTTTGCAATATACTCCGCTAACTTGAAGAATGTAGAGCTTCAATTTGGTCACCCCATGGATTATTAAAAAGATTAAAGACTAGATGAATCGTAAACTTAAGTCTCAGGTGGTCAATTTTCTTGGAGAAATTATTAATAGCAAAATAGCTCCAACACTCAAGTGCACTTTACACAGAAACGCTTGTAAATTTTAAAGTCAGAAGAGAAGGTAAATATTTAACTAGAGCAGAGTTATTTTATTATACATACTTCTGGTGAGAAAGAAGGGAGGTCTTGAGAGCAAACCCAAACAAACTTAAGTGTGTGTGTGGACATTTCCAGTTCTATTCTTCTTTTAACTCACTAACTTCTTGGTTTGATTTTTCTCTAAACTTTTAGAAACTTAAAGGGGTGGGGGGAGCACATGGCTCTATTAAGCATCCTACCATGTTACAACAGTGGGTGTTTGGGGATTCTTGCATCTTCACAAGCTTGTATCTCCATTCTGCTTGAACTCGGATAAAATATTGAGGGTCATGTCTTCACTCTTGGACTGTAAATTTGCCTCGCTTCTTCTGGAGGCTTTCCGGGTCGCTCGGGAGAGCCTCCTTCTGAAAGTATCTCCTGCCAAGAAATAGAGAATGGGATCCACACAGCTGTTGAGACTTGCTAGACCTCTTGTCACCTGATAAGTAGCATAAACCCTGTCATTGAAGGCGCACATTTCTGGGGTCTGAAAATCCAGCCGGGCCCTCAAATTCATCGTTTTCATTACATGGAAAGGGATATAAGACACCCCAAAAACAGTCAGGACAATAATCACCAGGTAAATTGATTTCCTCCTCAGAGGTGAGTTGTCCAGGTCATTGTAAATCAAAGCTTTCACAATTAATCCGTAACAGCCCAGAATCAGCACCAAGGGGACACAGAACATGGCCACGGTCGTGCACATGCTGTAGATGAAATAGCTTCGCAGGTACTCGTCTGAGGTGGTGTCATAGCAGGTGGTGGTTTTGTTTTTCCGGAGCTGGGTGCCGGTGTAGAAGAGGATGGGGGAGATCCCCACGACCACGACGAGCCACACCAGCACACTGATGTAGACCGCGTTCTTCTTCTTGAGCCTGCCCAGGGACTTGAGCGGATACACCACGCCGCTGTAGCGGTGCACGCTGATGCAGGTCAGGAACAAGATGCTGCCATAGAGGTTCACGTGGAAGATGAACCTCTGCAGCTTACACATGGCGTCCCCGAAGATCCAGTCTGTCTTATTAAAGTAGTAGAAGATGAGCGCGGGCAGAGTCAGCACGTACAAGAAGTCGGCCAAGGCCAAGTTGAACATGTACACGGAGATGCCGCTCCACGGCTTCATGTGGAAGACGAACATCCAGATGGCCACGCTGTTGCCCAGGAAGCCGATGATGAACACCAAAATGTAGACCGCCGGCAGGTAGTAGAACTGGAAGCCCGTCTTGGTCAGAGAGCAAGTGTACGTGGGGGTGACGGCAGCGACGGAGGCCACCGTGCTGTTTCCCCAGGGAGAGCCCGGGCCGCCCACGGAGAGAGCGTCTGTCCCGTTGGGGACAGCGGACCACAGCACCTCGGTCATTCTGTCCTCCCGGACTTAGGCGGAGGCTCCAAGGGACAAGCGGCGGCGTGAGGGCGGCTGCGGTGGCGAGGGGAGCAGCGAGCATCGGAAAAGCGGGCGAGCGGAAGGGAGCGGGCACCGGGGATCCCCGCGGGAGGGGGCGCGCCGGGGTTCGCCCACGCTGGCTCCGGCTCCACGTTCCCCGAGGGCCATGAAATCCGCCCGGGACCGGGACCGAACCAAGCTGGCGGGAGGGCCAGCAACTTCCCAGTGCGGCTGGCAGCGCCTAAATTACACAACGGGGAGCACAGGGCACCAACAGCCTCCCACAACTTTCCAACTGCGCTTTCCCGAGGGGCGGCTAGTCCTCCCCGGAGGCTCAGCGAGGTCCGGCCAAACTCACGTGTTGCGTTCCGGCAGGGGGACTGAGTTCCCCAGCCTCCTTCGCCCAAAGATCAACTTCGTTTGGACATCTTCCTTCTCCCAACCTTGCAAGCAAACAGCTCGACCCCGGGTCCACGCCGCTTCCGCGTGACTGCAGACCCGTGCACTTTGGGATCCCGACCCTTCGTCTTCGGTTCAGCTCCGGGTCCCTCCGCAGGCCCCGCAGGGTCCGGAGCGCAGGGGCAGGCGGCGAGCCCGGCACCGCGAGGGTGGGCGGAGTTTGGGCGGCTGGCGCGCGGAGGGAGGCGAGGGGCGTGTCCCCCCACCCCGCCCGCACGCCTGGCCGCCCGCCGAGCTCCGCCGGAGCTTCGCCCCAACCACGGCGTTTTCTGGGACTCCAGTGTCCACGGTGGCCGGGTGCTCCAAGGCAGCCTGGCCGCCGCTGCTGGGTCGGAGACCAGGACGAGGGGCGCGCAGGATCAGGGTTGGCTGCGGAGGAGAGATTGACGGAGAGGGCTGCCTTCGCTCTTCCGCCACTATCTCGGCAAAGTGAAGTTGCTGACACACAGGAAACCCTTCTGACCGCTCAGAGCCTGCTGCCTCCAGCCAGACAGCCCACCCGTCGGAGGCAGAAGTCCCTAGGGCCCTCCCGGACTACGCCAGGTGTTCGCAGGTTCCAAGCTGCCAGCCGTGCCCCGCTGGGAACGCCCTGGCTTCGCCGTGCGCCTCTGCACCCAGACCAGATTCCTGGCACAAGCAGGAACCTGCTAGTCCAAGGGAGCCCCAGCTCTTAAAGGCGAGAGTGTTGGGAGGGGGGTGAGGATAATCTCTTTCTGCCCTTCTAGTCTGCTTTGTGCTTTTTTCTTTCAATATTGATGTTCTCAATTAACCAAATGCTAATAAACAGACAGCATTGGTAAAATCAACTTGAGGATTTCTAGAAGGGCTCTGTAAAAATATTCGTTTATAGTACACGTTGCCCCGGCACAATTTAACTTGATACCTATTGCCTACTGACAACGCAATCTCCCCAAATTCTCCTGTGCAGTACATTTCATTAATGATCAGAGGCTGCAATAAAAGGTAATTTTAAAATATTGCTTTAGGAATAACTTGAATATTAAATACGTTTTATAAAAGATAGATGTACAGGACCATTGAACCCAAAGTGGTTAGGGTATGGTTTGGGGGGTTATTACCAATCCTGTCTTTTAAGCAATTAGTCACAATTATCTCTAGTAAGTGCCTTAACCACGTAATTCCTTAAATACTACGGTTTTTTGAAAAACTTGTTTTCATGGTTTGACTGCATCAAAAATTTAGCCATTACATTTCAAAATTGTATTTAAGTTTAATTGGAAAGTAAATGAATTATTAGCTGTTCAGGGACATATTTCAATGGGCCCACATAGGAATGTAACCTAGCACTTCTTGACATTTACTAATTAGTGGAATATTTTATACAAAATATTTACAAAAGCTTTTTTTTCTTGGAGGAAAAAGAATTCAAAAAGAAAAAAAATCTGCAAACCACATACCATAAAGATTTCTTTCTGGTCCTAGATGTTACATGGTAATTTTCTTTTTAAAAAGTGCTCGGGAAAATCAAGAGCTGCTCTGATAACACAAAGGAAAATTGCCTACAAGACCCAAATGGTCCTTTAGAGAAACACATATAGAAAGGACCAGATCTAAACCCATGGCATTGTGAACAAAATAGTATTCTGAATTGTGGTCAGTTGAACACCAGGAAAAGAAATACTAAAGCTAGAGTGAATAAGTCAAGTAAAGGGCACGAATGATGTCTTAATTGAAATAAAAGCTACAAGGCCTCTGTTTTCTCAACTATCCAATAAGGGAGTTGGATTTGATTATCTTTTATTTTCACTTGTCTCCCAGATGAAGTGGTTCTATAATTCTGAGCCTTAACATTTTCATATTGTTTGATTGGAATGGTACTAACTGGGATGATGTTCCATTAGGAGAGAGAAAGAAGCATGGAAAACCATTAAGAGTTCCATTGATACTTAATAGGTCCTAACTCCTCACTGCTTTGCATTTTTCATTTGCAACCTAAGAGGTATGTAACCTCACTCAGAAGACATTTGCAAATGCATTAACTCATAATGTGAGTGTTTTGAAATGTACACTTAGTTCAAATACCATTAAGTACATTCAGAAAACTGGACACTGTACTTGGAATTTGGGGGAGATAGTTGTTCAGAGTATACCATGAACTTCTTTTTAATGATGTTAAAAAGGTAAATTTTGTAAACACTGCTGTTACACCCTGCATATTTAACTGTATATTTATTATATATTTAAGTTATATTTTAAATCAAAATTGTGCCTTATGGAAATAATTTACACATATTCAGTTATTTGTTGATAACTTTGTATTTATAAAACATTGGACTAGATTTAATGGAAGAATAAAATTAAAATCTAAGACCCAATAACATGTCAGTATTTACTAATCTTTGAATACCAATTATAAATGCCTTAAAGGTATGAAAAGAACATGGTATACAAGTTTAAGTAACCACCCTAAATGCTGTTTATTAATTTGTTTTGTATTTGATAAATGATGTAAATGCCAAACCTCTAATTGTCTGATTTAGCTGGAAATGCCAAGAACATTATAACTAACTATAATAATAACACAGAACAATAATAATAAGCCTTTCATGTATACTTAGCACTGTGCATATTCAACAAAAATTATCATCTTTAATCCTTAAAAATATACTATAATAATAATTGGCAATTGTATTCCTATTTTATGAGTGATGAAACTAAGGCACAGAGATGTTAACTAACTTTTCCATGGTCACACAGTAAAACTGGGAGTTAAAACTAAGCCATCTATCCCAAAAGCCCACACATTTAACCACTAACACTATAATGTAATACACCCAAGTGCAGGGCATTGATAGGAATATGAACTTTTAGTGATCTTTAAAGTTCAGCATAGAAGGGGTTATTCCCAGAGCCTTGTATCAGGAGAGAAAATTTTGAGCCAGCTCTTGAAAGATGCTGATAGTCAAAGAGTATTTAAGAGACTTCACAAATGTTATACTTCTCTACTTGCACTTTAAAAAATACCCAACAATTTATATAAGATCTGAGAAGGACCTGCAATCATGGGAAAGTCAGATCTGTTTAGCCTCAGACTCATAAACAAAAAGGCTGTTCTTGTATTTACAGAGATTCTCATAACCATCATTAGGAAATCACTTCTTTCTCCTTCCCTAAAAATCACAGAAAATCCAACAGTCATTGAGGATGGAAAGATCTTTGAAAAAATTCTAATCAAGGGCCACAAGCATAAAAAGGAAAAAAAAATCTTCAGATAAACATAAAGTATAAAGTGTCTCAACTTAAAAGTTGAGACTAAGAAATATGAGATTAAATAAACATAATGCTACAGATGCTAAACCTAATTTGGGTGGCCATATGAAAGAAGGGAGCGCCAATGGCAGGATGCCTGTGAGGATTTCGCAGTTAAGCGGCATTGAGACCCCGATTCAGGAGTTAACAGCATCCTTTGAAAGATCCTTCTAAGTATAATAAGTAAGATGTGATAGCTCCTGAGGCATACCTTAGGAAAGTAAGGAAACTCCTGTGCTCCCCAGGAAGAAAATAGGAGAAAGAAATAGAAGAAAGGGTCTAAGGAGTTCGCAGCCAGTGACCCCCAGTGAAGAAAGAGAAGGCAGAGAGCTGAGGTGGAACGGAAGTGGAAAGTGGACAAGGAGCAAACTGAGAAAGAATGAAAGGATTGTCCTGTGCTGTGAAGGGCCCAGCTGCTCCTATAAATTATGCACTTGTCATGGATCCAATCAGTAGACTTCCTGACATTTATTTCATTAAGAATTACAGCAGGGGTAGAGGACACAGAAGAGGAGACAGCAGGGTTGCTCCAAGGTTGGAATGAGAGTAGGAGACCAAGAGACCAGGGAGGCCTTGGGAAAGGCAGGGAGATGGAAAATGGGAGGGAGAGGGGGCGCAGGAAGGTGCAGGAGGGGAAGGAGGAGAAAGCAAAGCACTTGCTTAGAAACAGAAAATTTCACTGAGCATAGCTTTTCAATACTTTAGCTTTAAATCAGGGTGGGTGTTAGGAGAGGGCTGTAGGAGGTGATGAGGCGACACAGGCTGCATGTCCATGTTGAGTATTTGTCCCTTGGCTGATGACCCTGAGCTAGGTTTTCCATCTGTACCCTAGCACTTGCAGGAACCTATAAAAACCCAGGTCACTTAGCTCTTCTTCCATCCTTCAGAAAGTTTCTTGCTCCCAGAACTGCTTTCCCATATTCTCTCTTTAATATTTACTTCCCTTATCCCCAGCCTTGTGAAGCCCTGAGTCCCCTAGTCTTAGGCACTTCATGATATTTTCAAAAATTTTTGTTAAATCCAGAAGAAAAGGCTCTGGTCCGGCCTTTGTACCCTCGGTCTTCCTCTAATTATCCTTATCACTAAATACGCCCTTTGCTCTCTTTGTCTCTGACCTGTCAGTTCACTAAGTCGTGTCTTCCAACATTTACTGATAACAGGTTAGAAATGCTAGACTACATGCCAGTTCTTTTACAGTTTCCTTAAACATTTAGCTTTTTAAAAAGACAGGGAAATAAATGTTCATAAAGCCTGTGGGTGCACAAATATCTTTAGAGCCAGACACCCATAACTGAAGTTTTATACCATAGGCATGGACTTATAGCGGGTTTCCATGGTAGCAGAAAGGATGAGAATATGACATTGTTTATTTGTTATTTTTCATCATTATTATATCTACCATATATAAATTATTGATTTTTGGCACATCATATGTTGAATATATAAGTTAAATTCCACATAGGCAAAAGAAAATTTGTAAAAGTAAAAGATACCTGTTTTCCTGTGTTGCCACATCTTCCATTAGCTCACTACTGAAGTGTTGATCTTAACTATATCCCGTGTTTCACAGTTTTCAATATTAAACTTAATAATAGTTGTTGTCATTCATGTTTTAGATTTTGGGATTTGGCTCTCAGAAAAGCTGATAAAAAGTTTTTACCAGAAGCAATCAAAATGTCAGCTAGCTTTAAATAAATGACCATTGTGTTCATTTTATAATCTTTTTAGGTTAGAGTTTTGTAGAAAAGCTGGTGGGATGAGCTAACTCCAGAGAGTCTTCTTATAATAAGAGAACTTTGGACACCTTTCTGGAAAAATATCTGAGTGACCAAAGAAAGCACCCAATCAGTTAACATGCAAAGGTGAAATGGCCCCATTCCTCATGTATGAAAACAATAAAATGGAATGA